ATCTCTCCAGAGCTGGCTGCAGCGCCACCACATGGAAGCCGACTGGACAATTCCTGCAGGACAGTCCTTGCGACTCCCGCTCTTCAAGCAGCTTCTTCAAGTGTCTCACGACAATGATGTTTGCTTGCCGGACCTGTTGGCGCAGGGAGTCCCAATTGGCGTTCTTCAGCGAATTCCCAGCAGCCATCAGTGGCCACCCGATGACCGCCCGCAAGGCAGTCAAGAAGAACTTTTGTGTTGCGAAGGCAACTGGGCCAGCGCCGAGAACTTCTTTGAAGACACTAAGCAGGCAATCGCAGAAGAGGTGTCTCGAGGATTTATTGAGGCGATTCCTGGAGGCTTAGAAGCAGCACGCAGGCGATGGGCCCAAGTTTCTGTTGGGCGGCTGGGGCTGGTGAAAGTGGCTGGGAAACAGGACCGCTTGGTGCTCGACTCGAGTATTTGCAACGTCAACGCCAGATGCGTGACGCCTGAAAGAGTCGCGCTTCCTGGCGTCGAGCAGCTGAGGCAGTGCATGGGCCCCAAGCCCCCCAGAGATCCCTGGGTCGGCGTCTCCTGGGACGTTAGTGCAGCCCATAAACAAATACGAATCTCAGAGGCTGAGCGCGGATTAGTTTTGTTTGCTTTTGATGGCACATTGTATGGTTATACTCGATGCCACTTCGGTGGCCGCTTCAGCGCCTACTGGTGGGCTCGATGCGGAGCAGCAATCACACGTCTCTTGCACGGTTTCATCTACACTCGGCACATTTGCCTGACATATGTTGACGACATTTTGGGGTCGTTACCTCGGAGTACCGCAGCAGTTTCTGTTGCAATTGCCACGGCCCTGTTGTTGCTCCTGGAGGTGCCCATCTCCTGGCACAAGTCAACTTTGCAAGATGTCGTCACATGGAATGGGTGGGAACTGAACTTTTACTTGCAAACTATTAGCCTTCCTCGCGCCAAATGCCTCAAGATTCTGGGTCTTTTGGATGATTGCTTGAAGGAACCCTGCTGCGCGCAATCGCTGGAAAAACTTGTGGGTTTGCTCGTATGGGTCACGCGTTTATTCCCATACCTCAGGCCACATCTCGCTTGTGTTTACGAGGCGCTGGCCACACCGCCAGCAACTTTCTTCTTCATTCCAAGTGCTCACTGGCCAGGGCTAATCGCCCGACTCGATGGGCAAGCGCGGCTGGAGCAGGCTTGCCCCCACTTGTACATCCCGGTAGGCAGCAAGCTGATCACCATTAAACACACAGCGATACAGAGCAAGCAGGATTTGCTGAACTGCCCCTTCACTTCGCAACCTTGTTGGATTCGAGCAGTAAATCCCCAACACCAGTATCGGAAGGTCTCAGCAGTTCTCAAGCAGCAACTCTGTTGGTGGAAGAATGTATTTTCTTCATTGCCGTGGATTTGCAGCATGCGGGAGCCTCAGCACTCTTCGTTCCAAATGGCTGCAGATGCCTTCGCTACGGCTGACCAGATTGGAATTGGCGGCTGGGCGCAGAACCAGCATGCAAGTTTCTGGTTTCACGAAACCTTTACTGCTGCAGAAATCCGGAATTTGATGCCTGCGCTTGATTCTCCAATGCAGTCATACATTGCTTGTTGGGAACTCGTGGCGCAGTGCGCGCTGGTGCTGATGATGAGAGAAAACACGGCTTTTCAGGCCGGCCATGTTTACTTGTCTTCCGGCAGTGACAACACCTCCGCGGAAGCGGCCTCGGCCAAGATGCTTTCCACCACATGGCCCATGTCGGTTTTCTTGCAGCTGTGGGCGAGTATTTGCCATTCCTCGCAGATTGTGCCCTGCATATCACATATTCCAGGTCATGCCAATGTTCAGGCGGATGATTTGAGCCGCGGACGCCTGCAAGGATGGGATCCCGAGCGCAGATTTCGTCTGGCTTTGCAACAGTTGTTGCCCGTCCCGAAGCCAGCCGTGTCATTATTTCCTTTGCGAGCAGATTGGAGCCCACACCTCCTCGCTCTAGGCCAAGCCTAATGCGTCAGGCGCAGTCTCCTTTCTTGGGCATTTACCCCCGCGCCTGTTTCGGCTGTTTGCCAGTTTGGTTTGGGGCTGGATGCAGATCTTGCATGCTTCCGGCAAACAGCAGAAAATAGGCGCGGCTTGCTGTGCTGATTCAAGTGCCTTGAGGAATCCCGAGCTGCGTTCCCATCTCTGAACTCTAGGGGTGCCAGGGTTCCCCTGTGTTTTGAGTTGGGGTTGCAGGAGGTTGATCAACTTGTGTCCGTGCAGCTCGGGTTCCAGCAGTTGTCGCAGTCAACATTGACTTCGTTTCATTCTTCTTCTTCTATTTTTTGCTTCCCTCCCGCCCACCCGTGCGGGGCTGGGGGCTGGATGCAGATCTTGCATGCTTCCGGCAAACAGCAGAAAATAGGCGCGGCTTGCTGTGCTGATTCAAGTGCCTTGAGGAATCCCGAGCTGCGTTCCCATCTCTGAACGGAAGCAAACCTTTAAACCGCTAACGCTTCCGATGAGAATCAAGACAAACTGGACACCATTGCGGAATATTGTGGATGTCGCCGGTTCAAGCAGGATGCCATCTTGAAGAGTCTGCAGCTCGGCAAGATATGGAAGGGTTCTAAAGTCGAGGGAGCGAAGAACTTGACTCCAGGTGTTGAGATGATGAACCCCAAGAACATCTTGGTGGGTGACATCAAAGACAAGGACCTTTGCTGTTTGCACGTGTCAAGGCGAGGATTGCGAGATGGCGAGGGCTTTCTCCTGAGGACAGCTTGAAGCAGGCGTTTGCAGGTGCTTCTGCCGTGGTGGCCTCGAACATCTCCCGTGCCGGCAATTGCCTGCAAGACGCAAAAGCCACGAGGTGGTGGTGGTCACGTCCGCCGTGCCGAAGCTAAAGCCGTGGTCTTTGTTCCCTTTTCTGCCACTGGGCTGCAGCGAGCTTGGCTTTAGAAGGTGCACGCGCCATTCGGCTCCGGAAAGAAGCTGTGAATGGTATGAACTCCATGGGGCATGTCAGGGAGTTGATGAAACAATGAGGCTTGGTTGATACCACTGAGGGAGCTTGTGCTGGCAATACTCGTCCTGAGGTTTGGAAAGCTGCTTGGCGCCTTGGCGATGATTTGCATGGCCAGAACATGGTGCTTGGAGCCCGCACAAGGAAAGAAGTGGAAGCTGAAATTCAGCTGGAAAGGCCGGCAACGTCACTTGCGTTTCTGAGGGTGATTCTCGCTGACAAATCGCATCTGTCGATCAGAAGAGTGGCACGTGGCTTAGGCGGCGCTGCTGGCAAGCCAGAGAAGGTTGACTGGGAAGGCCTGGGGCGAATCGAAGGCTTGAGGCGAGTGGAGTGAGTGAGCAAGTGAGTGCGCGACGCAAGTCAAATGAAACAGCAGCTTGGGCGTTTCTATTTCAGGTCAGAAGAACCAGTTCGATGTTGCCGTGGAGCAGAAGGTGTGGTTTGGCGGGAGGAATCTAGCAGGGCTAGTCACAGTCCACACTTCCGCCCATCCTTCGCCACGTTCCGTCGGAGAGTGCCTGTAAGTTTCAATGACAGTCCAAGGGCGAACAACACCGTCCGTCACGCTCTTTCACCACGCATAGGGGTTCATTGTTTTGAAAGGCAAAGGTTGTGAACAGTACCCCCCAACCCTGCGCGTAATAAGAGCCCGAGTCTCCTCTACCAATGGGTTCCCATGTGGGGCTTCCATGGGTGGGAACCTTTATCGCCAGGTGAAGCATGTGATCCTTGTCGGCACGATGACGGGCACTCAGAGCCTTGGCAGGGGACGAGTCGCTCCGTGTGTGGTGCGTGGCGCCAAACGCCGCGCCGCCAGAGCCATGTTCAGAGTTGAAAGCAATTTGGCTATGCTTTCTGATACCAGGATCGGTTTGTGTCAGGTACCGGAAGTGACCGGTGGTCAAGAGAGTCACAATCAAACCCGGGTAGATGAAGGTTAGTAAGGGGCAGTCCCAGCCGGAAATAGTTGCGGCCGCCTTTTCAATTCCTTACATGGTTCTGGGTTCATCATTTTTGTACCAGGTTTTGATTATGGCTCAAGAGGGGAACCAAGGGGATGTTGTTTGTTTGGTTTTTGCTTCAGAGACGTGCAAGGAAGGACAGCTTCCTGAACAGCATCGGCGAGGGTGATGGGGACCAGATCGTCATGTGGAAGCGAAAGGCCAGAAAAGCCAAAGCCGATGTCGCGCTGGCATGCGGCGCCCGTTTTCCCAGTTGTTTTTGTTTTCTTGGAGGCAGAGATGTATTTGATGGACGAATGCAAGAAGGGCACCATGAAGTACACCATCATCCATGCAGGACAAGTGCTGTGGGTGTGACATCTTTGTTTCTACGCGACTGCAAGATATATCTATATTTATACATATATATATATATATATACATATATATATATATATGTGCATATGTGTGTGTGAATATTATATATATATGCATATATATATATAGATATTTAATTGTAAGTATATCTATATATATATATATAAGTAGCATTTTGTTTGGATAGCGAACCCACCTTGTCTCTTGCGTGCCATCGCACCTTCATGCCTCGCAGGCGGTCTGAGCGACGATGATGGGGGGAAGTCGAAGGCCGGTTTTGGCGGCAAAGCGACGAAGTGAGCCACGGTCTCCGGTTTGCAACGTGGAAATCCGTGGAGCGGGAGCCTGCTCTTTCCTGTTTTTCTTTCCGTTCGAAGGAGTTTTGCAAGTTGCAAGACCTTTGTTTGGGGAGCGGATCGATGGGGAGCTTTTTCTATTTCTTCGATGTGCGGACGTGGAGCGATCGGGAGTAGCTGCGAGCGCGAATCACGCGCCGAGATCACGGCGGGAGTGGATGACACTCTCAGGGAAGTGCAGCTCTCAGGACGCCGGACATGGAAAAAGTGGACTGGTCACTCCTTTGACTCAATGCATCTGGGCACAGTGACACTGGATCCATTGAGCACGGCGATGCCTGAGCCCAGGTGAAGCCGACCTACCGCATACCTCGCGCAGACGTGGCTGAGGCATGCGTGCAGGTGCGCTGTTGAGAGGATGGATGTGGGGTTGTGGCTGGCTTGGAAAGGGTCCAAATCGGAGCCGTCCAGTCTCCTTGGACCCGCGGATAGGGCGGGGATTGGTGTCTGAAACCCACCTTTGCTGTGCAGAGACACAAGTTCCTCTCCAAAGTTGCTCGAGATCCCACACACCACCTCCGGTCCGGCATGTTCCATTGGGACTGAGTCACCGGAGATGCCGCCTTGTTCTTTCTCTACCGGTTCTAGACCATTTGAGCCATGGGGTTTTGATTCTCACCGCTTGGACTCCTGGACTCGTGGACTCGTGGCTACGCAGGCCTTGGAGTGCAAGGAGGCCCTGGACCGAAGCTTCGACCTGGGCTCCACGGAGGACGGCCAGGTGCTGGCGACCCAGGAGGACTTCCAGGCGAGCGACGTGCGCGCTCTGCCTCTGGACGGCCCTCGCCTTTCTGGGGTCAAGCCGTTTGGGTATGACTCATTTTTTTGTAGAACAAATGCAAGATGGTGCGGGGCGATATCATCAGGACTGGTTTTCTCCCGGTGAATGTTTCAAGGAAACCGCAGGGGTTCGGTGTAAAAGCGGTGCTTTGAGAGGAGAACCGAGGCGCTTGGTTGAGAGGGAAGCCACGCAAGCAACGAACATTACATCATGGTAAGCTAGAAGAACCATTTCCTGTGCGCCCAGAGCGGCCACGGCAAACGAATGTATCATGACATTGTTTGGCAGGCCCAAAAATGGGGCCACCGGGGCTTTTGAAGGAAGCTGAAGGGAAACAGATCGTTGGGAGGCCAAGGGAGAGCAATGTCAATTTCAAGACTCCAAGATAGGCGTGGGTACGGAAGTCGCGATTCGCCGATGCGCCAGGCCATTCTGGGGAAGCTGGAGGGCAAGAACTGCGACTACAGCATCAACCCTCCGCCGTAGCTCGGGGGTCCTGAGAATGGAGCTCAGCGTCAATCCTTGGCGTACGGGTGTGTTCTCAAAGCCGAAGGGGAATGACGTGACTGAGGAACCTCAGATGTTTAACTTGGCCTTAGAGCCTTCAGACTCGTTGCCGGGCGCGACAAAGAGCCGAGAGCGAGCAGGGGGACAGCACGTCGGACGAATGGTGCATCGGACATACCTCTGATGGATTTCGATTTCCAGCAAGATGCCAAGAACGTCCGAGGCCTCCTTCCCCCCTTTTTTTGGGGGAGGGGAGGCCCCCCACCCCCCTTCTTTTTGGGGGGAGGAGGTCCCCCCTCCTTTTTTTTGGGGGGGGGAGGAGAGGGGGGGAGGGGGGAGGGGGCAGGGTTTCACGGGGAAAACAACTCGAAAAAGAGAGAGGCCAAGCCAAAATCCGCGTGAGGAGCTGGGCGCCCTGGGCATCCGTGGGGAAGGCCGCCTCTGCAGCCGGGACCTCTGAGGTGACAGGGGTGTTCATTGCGACAGGAACCAGCTTTTTTTGTTTGTTTTGGAGCATTCTTGTTTTTTCTTCGTTTTTGTTCTTTCTTTTATACCACAGATAACAGAATGAGCATGCTCCACCAAAAGTGGACTGTTTGGGTACACACTGTCTCGCTCGCGTTTGGGGCAGAGCTCATATTTGGCAGCACATTGACCAATGCAACCTTCGACCAGCCCCGACACACTTTGACCCATCAGAACAAAACATTGGACGTGTTCGACAAAATCATTTCGACCAATTGAGTAGTTCGGAGGTTCGTAGGTTACCAAATGGGTGTCTTATTTTCGGTGCCCGTAGAGCTGGCATTGTGGTTTTGCTTACGATAGTTTTCCCTGAAAAAGTATGATTGAGAAATAATGTTTGAAAGATACGTTAAGTGGAGTTAAGAACTGCATGATATTCGATGGAATGATACCTAGTTCATATTGAATGAAACCAATTAATTGCACGGAAAATTAAGTACGTGGGTAGACTAAGGATGATTGAATTGAGTGTTGATCTCAAATCTCAGGGCCCAGGATAGCCCTTGCAATCCGATTTGGGTTTGGGCACAGGCGCGTAAGCGCATAGCATGTCGAAGGAAGCGAACAGGTGCGCTGGGCGCCCTCAATTTCTGCGGCCGAAGAAAGGAGGAGACTGCCGAGGACTGGGGCGTGCTGCAGGCAGGTGGAAGTGTTCAGCAGGTTTTGTTAGAGCGAAGGTCTTGGTTCAGTGGGCTTGGTAACACCAGTGTGGGGCAAGCTCGTTGCATGTTTGCTTCTGGTAAACGCCTCGCGCTGCCCGCCTGCGCCTTGCGCATCAGCCGGATTCTTTCGATTGGCTTTGAAGTACCGTGTTTTGGCTTGCCTTGAGGCGCCGCGTTTTCTGAGTGAGTGAGTCGGCACCGCACTGCGTGAGCTGGAAGCCCCAAGGGTCAAGAGGCCGAGGCTCCAGGGCAAGGGCAACCGACGAAGGGCTGGGGGGGGCTACGGCAGGGGGGTTGGGAAGATCCCGAAACCGGGGTCTGACCACTTCCCCGGTGTTTGCTTGCGACTGGTGGCAGGGACCCTGTTTCAACATCGCCAAGCTACGTTGACATGCTATTTGGTCGTAGCCACTAGACCAATCTCTCGCGCTCGTTGAATGTCCAGGACAGCAATTCCGAGGATGATGCTGATGCCACAGCCTCACGGTCTTGGCCGGTTTCCTTTGAACACTGTTGGGTCGCGTTGTAACCTCCAGGTCGACCCGGATCCTGCCCGGAAATACCACGCTCCGTGGTCAAGCGCTGAGTGGCCGCGGGCTCCCCCTCAAGTGGGTGTGGCGCAAAATGAGACACCTGGATTTCGCGGAAGTCTGAGGCGTTGTTTCCGAATGCCCAACTTACCGTTCTTGGAGCCACAGCGTGGCGTCGACTTGAAAGGGATGGATCCTCTCAGGGCGGCCCGCATCATCAGCGAGCTGATCGGGTCCTATGTGGTGGTGCCGGGCTGAGCTTGGATCAGACCCCATGCGACACCTCATTTGAGGTGTCAAAAACAATAGGGCCCAAAAGGAACCCTGGCAAATGGACAAGTGGACCATTCTAAATGGCTCGAACCACACCCAAATGACTACAGAAGAAAAGCAGCCGCAATGGGGGGGGGGGGGGCGGGACCATTCATTCTGTGGGTGCAAAAAGAAGGCCGCCTTGGTGCCTTGATGGTCAAAGTAGGCTTGCAGTTGTTTAGGCCATCTGAGGCATAACCTATGGCTCCATTTTGGGTTGGGATGAACATCCATTTGCCACCTATTTTGATGTTCACCAGGGGTCCAGGGTTTTGACAACCACAGCCATCTGAGCGCCAGGTGCTCACCTTTGGCATTTGTGCCGCTGGATCCCCGGGTGGAGTCGGAGTGGGCCAAAGCTGGGGCTAAGGTGGGCCGAAGTGAGTCTTTTTGCCTGGTGCCCCAAGAAGATGGAGGCTTTCACGGAACGGTTGTCCGAATGGCAATGAAAGCAAGGCTAAGAGGGTCTTAACAGGGCTTGCTTGTCAGGAGGTGTTCTGTCGGCTTTCAGGTAGCATCCACTGGGAAGTTAGATGTCTCCGGCTTTGACGCATTCCAAAGTTTGCCCGTGAGGGGGACCCGCCAGAGGTTGCTACAAATCGCGCCCAAGCAGAAGACTCGAAGGCACAGACTTGGGGGTCTCATTGGATCAAGATCAGGCACCCATGTTGAACATATCCGGCGCCTTTGGCCGGCTTAAAGATCGCTTACTTTTTGGGCCATGCTTATCATGGTGAACAGAGTCTCAATCGGGGTGATGTCACAGGGGACCAATATGAGGAACCTTGAAGATTCCATCTGCCTGAAACTTAATTGGAAGCAAAGACGTTGCCTCACCAAGCTCTTGCATTGATTGGCACGCTGCTCTTCAGCATTGCCTTTTTGCTTTGACTATTCTCCTTGACGTTTCCCTCACTGCCTCTTCCTTCTCCTCTCCTTCTGCTTCTCCTTCTTTGCTTCTCTTTCGTTTTGGGCTTGTTATGTCAACGCGCTAGCTTCGTGATTTCTTGCCTTGCCTTATTCTTTCTTCGACTTGAAGCTCATGTGATGCTGGGGTTCTGCCGGAAGGTTGCCCTTGCTCTTTGGGTGTCTTTTTGGAGGACCCGAGGCCAAACCCGGGCATCGCCATGAAGGTTGATGGCTCCATTTTGGAGAGATACTTTTGAACTCACAGTCTGGCCTTCAGGGTGGAACGAAGGCAGGGTTCCACTTGTGGAATCAGGCCATTTCTTACCTATACTTCTCTTTAACAGTTGGGTAACACATCACCTTTTCATATTTGGATGCGAACAGATCTCCCGCTGTGGTGTTCAGTTTCACGTCTCACGTTCGGAAAGGCCACCTCACAGCCGTTTTTGTTTTCTTCTTTTTTTTCTCCCGGGTATGTCTAAACCAGAACGCTCCGCGCTGCCCTCGGCCCGTATCAGCCGTGTTTTCTGAGTGAGTCGGCGCTGGAATGCGTGAGCTGGTTGCCAAGATGGTGGGCGCATGCTCACGCGTTACAGGGCCAGGAGCCGTAGTCCGGCAAGGGCGGCAGTTCCGCCAGCCTTGGACCTGGGCTGCGCCAGAGCTTAGTCCAAGGGCAGCGGGCCATGTGGGCTCGGGCAGCTGGGGGCAGCCGGAGCATGGATTTGGGCCGCGTGACATTGGTTGGGGGCCCGTATCAACGGTTGACTGCCTGGACTCAAGTACCCTTTCTTCCAACAAAACGCCCTGCAGCGGAAAACGCCAATGCCAGGCGATTCTTATGGAGCTCCGCCTCGATGAGCCGGGCAACGCTTCTGCTTTTGCCAGCCCAGCACCGCAGGATGATGTTTTGTTTTCTTCTTTCTTCTTTTTTTCTCCCGGAATCGTTGAGATGTTGTGTCGTGGTGGGAGCATGTGGGACCCATGGCTGGTTTCTCGTTTGCAGTTTTGAGCCGCATTTTGTGCTGGAGGGGTTGCGGAGCCCTCCTCCGGGCGAGGAAGCGAAGCTTGTGCTGTCGACGCCATATTCCACCGGCGCTGCAGTGCTTTCATTGGCATCTTGACTGAAGGGAAGGCGGCCAGGGGTCTTTCATGTTCATTGGGGATTGAGCCCCCAAGATGTCGACAAGGGGTGCATTCTTCGTGCATGACGACTCACCACAGTTTTTAGGGCTTGTGTCGGCTGCTGAGACCTATGCGCTGGCATCTGTGTCGGGGGCGCATTTCAATCCCGCGGTGACGCTGGCAGTCGTGCACCTAGAGCAGAGCAGCTGCAACTTCAACTTGGGCACATTGGGCGCGTCCGCATGTGGAGGGGGGCATGGGGTGCAGGCGCATAGGGTGCCAAGGGGCATAAGGCGCACAAGGCGCAAAAGGCGCATGAGGCGCATTGGCTGCAGCTTCGAAAGGCTGCGCTTTTGAGGTGATGTTCAGCAGCCGGGATCCCTATGTGTGGGCAGAGGCACGGCGACTGCCAGCTTCGGTCGTACGTTTGTTGCTTCGCTGGCAGGGACCCACGCGGATTCTTGCCCA